GAAGGAAGGAAGGAAGGAAGGAAGGAAGGAAGGAAGGAAGGAAGGAAAGAAGGAAGGAAGGAAGGAAAAGAATATGGAGCCCAAAAGATTCTAGTTAGTAAATTCTCCCAGTCCAGTGCCTAAGCATTCCTGACCTTTCCACTGGGGTGTGTGTGTATCTCTGTGTCTCTTGGGAAGGGTTTTTTGAGCCAGCTTTCCATACCCATGGTGCATCCATGGACAGAAAACATTTGAGAAAAAATTATACTGAACACGCACAAACTTTTTTCTTGCCATTATTCCCTAAACAATACAGTATAGCAACTATTTACATGGCACTTTTTTATTCCGTATTGGAAGTAATCTAGAGATGATTTGAAATAGAAAAGAAACAGGGCTTAAATAAACTACATCTCAAGCTCAGTTGGTAGAATGCTTGCCAGGCAAGCTGTGGGTTTGATCCCCAGCACCTCATAGAACTAACTGTGGTGGTATGTATCTGTAATCCTAGCATGTAGGAGGTGAAGGCAAGGGGATCAAAAGTTTAGGATCAGCCAGGTGGTGGTGGCTCACCCCTTTAATCCCAGCACTTAGAAGGCAGACAGATGTCTGTGAGTTCAAGGCTAACCTGGTCTACAAAGCAAGTTTCAGGACAGCCAGAGCTGTTATACTGAGAAACTCTGTCTTGAAAAACAGGGGGTAGGGGAAGGGGGAAGGAGGAAGGAGGAAGGAGGCTCATTCTTCCAGTTCTCACCAGGACCAGTGCACTTTAGTCTGACCAACTGGCATCCCTGTTTCATGGCACAGCATGGTAGTCAGGTCTGGCTGGTGCTTATGGAATCAGTACACACTAAAAGACAGTCTTGGGGCACAGGGGGTGGGCGGAGAAAAGAAAAGAGCTTGGCTTGGAAGAGCTAATACGGTGTATCCCATACTCTCTAGGTGGGGCAGCTGCAGCTCTCTCACAACCTGAGCTTTGTGATCATGGTGCCCCGGAGCCAGAAGCACAGGCTTGAAGATATGGAAGAGGCACTCACCCCCACTGTCTTCAAGGCCATCATGAAGAAGCTGGAGCTGTCTAGATACCAGCCCACTTACCTGATGATGCCCCGAATCAAAGTCAAGAGCAGCCAAGACATGCTGTCCATCATGGAGAAAATGGGTGAGCCCTGGCCACTTCAGGTTACTCCCAGGTCATGAGGGAGAGGGGAAAGATGGTACTAAAATGTTGCTCTCCTTCTGATTTTCTAAAACCAGGATCAGAAACCAAATAATAGACTAAAAGATACACCAAGTGCTCCTGCTGCTGAGGAATTGCAAGGGCTTTAGGAACATAGATCAAAAATCAAATATTAGCTGGGTAGTGGTGGAACAAGCCTTTAATCCCAGCACCTGGGAGAGGATCTCTGTGAGTTTGAGGCCAGCCTGGTCTACAGAGAGAGTTCTGCCAGGGCAGTTACACAGAGAGCCCCTGTTTCGAAAAACCACAACCCAAAAAAAAAAAAAAAAAATCTCAAATACTTAAACAAAATGTGCGACTAGCACATCTGTTGCTAAGGAAATGTTGAGGTTTTAGGAGTTCTTTGTCAGGAATTTAGGACAGAGACCAGAATACATTTCTTACCAGCATTATACCCTCATATGATCTCATTTTATAGCATATTGTCCATCTCTATTTATTTTCCAAAGTCCTTGGAGATAAGGAAGTAATAGTCATTTTTTCAGGGGAGAGTTGGTGGTGGGCGGAGAATGGTGGTTGGGTCCCCTAGCGGGTTCCCACTTACAAGACCAGGAGGCATGGTGTAGGGTCTGAGAAGGGAAAGACAAGAGGAATTTGAGGCTAACCCAGGAAATTTAAGAGCAGAATCTGCACCCACCAAGAGTTTCCTGCTGATCTCTGGTTGGTTGGTTTGTTGTTCCGAGACAAGATTTCTCTGTGTAGCCCTGGCTGTCCTGGAACTTGGGTTGTAGACCAGGCTGGCCTGGAACTCACAGAGATCCACCTGCCTCTGCCTCCCAAGTGCTGGGATTAAAGGTGTGCACCGCCCCCGGGCTCCTGCTGATCTCTGATTTTTTTTTCTCTTGTTTTGCCCTAGAATTCTTTGACTTCACTTACGATCTCAACCTGTGTGGCCTGACTGAGGACCCAGATCTTCAGGTGTCTGCCATGAAACACCAGACGGTGCTAGAGCTAACCGAGACAGGTGTGGAGGCAGCTGCAGCCTCTGCCATCTCTGTGGCCCGAAACTTAGTCATCTTTGAGGTGCAGCAACCCTTCCTCTTCCTGCTCTGGGACCAGCAACACAAGTTCCCAGTCTTCATGGGCCGGGTCTACGACCCCAGGGCCTGAGACAGGCAGGAGTCGGGCTCTAGTAAGCCCTGCCACCCAGGCTTCAGCTCATCCAGTTATTACCTTGCCACTGCCTTCCCTAGCCACTTCCAGCCTTAGGATCTGGCAGAGGGAACTGTTTTCACCCACCAACCCTATGGCATCGGCATGCTCTCTAAACCCGTTTTTGCCGCTTGATGGTTCAGGTTTACCAGACTCAACAAATAAAACTTGCAGACATTTCTTCTCTCGCTTGCCTATGGGTATTATTAGTTGCCTCGATGTCGGTAAACAAGAATTACCATGCTTCCTGCATCAGCTACTTAATACTGTGGAATAAGCCACTCTAAACTTACTGGCTTAAAACCAGCGACCTGCCAGGTGGTGGTGGCACACGCCTTTAATCCCAGCACTCAGGAGGCACAGCTAGGCGGATCTCTGTGAGTTCGAGGCCAGCCTGGTCTACAAAGTGAGTTCCAGGAAGGGCACAAAGCTACACAGAGAAACCCTGTCTCGAAAAAACAAAACAAAACAAACAAAAACAAAAACAAAAAACAGCGACCATTTATTTTTTCCCCCTCAGTCACAGGATTGGCCAGTGGTCTTGCTAGCCTGACTAGCTCAGCTTCCCTGTGGGGCATTTACCCACCAACCCCACAGCTCCCCAGAGTTTTCTTGAGTGTGAGCAGCAGGAAATATTAGAAGGATTTATTGTGGAGAATCTTGCAGAGATAAACAGATAGAAAATAAAGGATAGCCTCGAGAAGGCCTGGAACCTTTTCCAACGGGCCCCGACTGTCTCTGCCCCAGGGTTTTTATAGAGACACCAAGGGGTGGAGCAAAAGACCTCCTCCCCCAGCACAGCCAAGTGCAGACCATCTCAGACACCTGCACTCAGACCCATGGTCCTAATCATCCTCTATGCGGACCTGCTGGGTAAAGCCAAGAGGAACCCGAGAACGGGCTCCCACACTTCCCTGGGCATATGAATGCATCTTCCTTAGTTAGCAGGTTGGTTGGGGGATGACTGGCCTTTGATGGCCTTGCGTCACACTTTTCGGCACTCTCTACATGTCTCTTATGCCACCAGGATGATCTCTGTTCTAAGAACACAGCCTCTTTCTCTCATGTCTGCCTATATCAAGTTTACCATTTTCCTCTCAGCAATTGGCATGGTGAAATCTAGATTTAGAGTGAAAAGCCACTATGAAGTTATAGGGTAGAGAGCCATTAACTGAGGGCCACAAATGCAATTTATCTGCCACAATCCTTATCTTGATTATTTATGTGCAAAAAAAAAAAAAAAATGTAGCACTAGGTGCTTCAGAGATAGCACAGTGGTAAAGAGCATTTGCTGTCCTTCCGGAAGACCTGGATTCAATTCCCAGCATCCACAGCAAATCACAACTATTTGCAATTTCAGTTCCAGGACACCTGATACCCTTCCCCCTCCACAAGTACTAGGTATGTACATGGTGTACAGACCTACATGCAGGGAAACCAACAACACACTAAACATCAAAAATAAATTAAAAATGTGACAATAGCAATAGTAACGAGCAAGGTGGGGAATAATCATAGGCATTCTGCTAAGAGTTTTGCAGACATTTAATTACTGCAATAACTTTGCATGGGAGCTGGGCGGCGGTGGTGGTGCATGCCTGTAATCCTAGCACTCTGGAGGCAGAGCCAAGCAGATCTCTGTGAGTTCGAGGTCAGCCTGATCTACAGAGCGAGATCTAGGACAGGCCAAAACTACACATAGAAATCCTGTCTCGGAAAAAAAAAAAAAAAAAAAACCAACAACAACAAACAAAAAACAAAATAATAATAATAATAATAACTTTGCATGGCTAACTCAGGCTGTTCAAAGTCTTTTTTGAAAAGGTTTTCTCCTGGGCGCTGTGGCTCAAACCTGTAATTCTAACACTCTGTAGGCTAAGGCAGGAGGAACATAAATTGGAGGATATCCTGGGCTACATAACAAGACTGTCTAAAACAAAAAAACAACAAAATGTTTTCATCTCTGCCTCCAGTTTTTTTTTTTAAGGCTGCACTCATGAATTCACTGATGCTTCAGTTCTCTCCTCTTCCTGTGTTCCTCTTCCTTCTTCCTCCTCATCTGTCTCTTTGTTCCTGCCTCATCTTTCCTTCTCTATTTCTTTCCACCCCTCAATATATCTCACATTCTCTCCTCCCTCTCTCCCTTCTCTCCTACTAAAAGCACAGCCAACCTCAAGGGTGCAGACCATAATTCCTTGATTTAACCCATCAGCTTCTCTTCCTGATGAGGTGAAGGATCCAGACTCTAGCCTGGTCCCAGCCTCCCCTCCCCAGCTCTGTCCACACACACTCCAGACCTCAGGTTCCCATCCTTAGTAGCCTCGAGGTAGTGTATTCCCTGGTGCCTGTGCACGAAACCATCACCCTACGGACATCTATTGAGCATCTCCCACACATGGTGAAGATTTAATTTTCAAAAAGGGTTATCCCAGAGGTTAAGCCAGGCTGCTTGAGATAGATAGTTCTAGGTATGGAAGTCTCCCTGTAGTGGATGGCTAAGATATATATGCACAAACCACTGTTGCCCTACATTCCAGGAACTTCTGCTGTCTGCAAAATCTGCCTTCTCCATCCCTCCCTCCCAGAAGGTGACAGAGTAAAATGTCACCTAACCTAACCGGGTACTGTACCCAGGCTTGAAGCTCTTGGTCCATTGGGCATGTCCCTTACTCCATGGTGCTGAGCTGGGGGCCAGGCTCATGGGTAAATGCAGGATGTGAGGTCACCAAGTTCCAGTAACTCTTGGCAGGATAAGCTTAGCATGGGTTTTGGTAGCTGTCTTAGTTTTTGTTTTTTGTTTTTTTGCGGGGGGGTGGGGTGGGGTGGGGGGTGGGGGGGTGTTTTGTTTTGTTTTCCCAGGTAGGGTTTCTCTGTGTGGCCAGAACTCACGCTGTAAACCAGGCTGTCCTCGAACTCAGAGATCTGCCTGCAGTGCTGGGATTCAAGTCATGTGCCACCACCACCAAGCACTATTAGTTACGCTTCTATTGTCCTGATAAAACACCATGGCGAAGGCAACTTTCCGGGGCTCCCAGTTCCAGAGAGTTAGAGTCCATGACCATCATGGTGGGGAGCATGGCAGCCGGCAGGCATGGCTCTGGAGCTTAAGCTGAGAGCTTATATTTGATCCAAAGTATGAGGGAGGGGTGGGGAGGAGACACTGCAAGCCGCAGAAAAATGTAATGGAATCCAGCTACTGTCACAAAAACTACTACTTGGAAAGGTCAAGGTCTTTTCCAAAGATCAACCCCTGGCTTAAGAAGTCTTGGTGATATTTTAGCTTTTGTATATATATTAGCAGATTCCTGCAGTGATTTTCTTGTATGCTATATATGCTTCCAAGACCTCATAACTGTATTTTATCTGAAATACCTAAAAGCATCCAAGGCCAAACAATCTCATGAATTAAGGTAAATTAAGCTCAGACCTTCCTTTCTTATACAGCCTTAGTGGTATTTATACTAACATTATAGACTCCTAACATTTTACCTAACCACCTCTAGGAATGTAGTTTGAGCACACAAATTCCCTCTTTCTGATATATTAACTGATTTTAGCTCTTAGTTGACCTCCTTCTTTACCACTCCCCTTTGGGGTTATAAAAGAAAGCCTGATGGTCACTGCCTGAGGAAAACTCATCTGCCTTTATTACCCTGTAAGAATTCAAGCCTGGTGACCTTGCTTTAGCGAGAGCACTGCTATTGCATGGGTATAGAACTGTAAACCTCAGAGACTGAGAGAGGATTTTGACTGGACAACTAGATGGAGAACTAGACGAATAAGATGGAAGATGAGGAAGAGCCAGATGGGAAAGAACAAGATGGGGCAGAACTAAGATAAGAGAATTAAGATAGAACATAGAAGGGACAGCAGATAAATGCAGAGAGAAATCAGGCAAGAAAGGAGCCAGGCACAAGCCAGAACTGTAGCTGTGTAGATAGAATTTTATCCCAGAGGAATAAAGTAGACGGACTAAGAGCTTGGTGTACTTAGATTCTTTTCCCGAAAATAATTTGCGTTGTTCATAGCTTCTCTTCTGGGCCCCTGGGAAGAAGATTATTAAGACTGGACCATAATTTTACTCAATTATTGAAAAAAAATAGCCAAATGAATGGAAACACATGAACTATGAACCAAAGTTCATAGGGGCCCCCGGCTGGATCAGGCCCTCTGAATAGGTGAGACAGTTGATTGATTGGCTTGATCAGTTTGGGAGGCATCTAGGCAGTGGGACCAAGTCCTGTGCTCATTGCATGAGTTGGCTGTTTGAAACCTGGAGCTTATGCAGGGACACTTGGCTCAGGCTGGGACTGGACCTGCCTGGACTGAGTCTTCCAGGTTGATCTCAGTCCTTGGGGGAGGATTTGCCCTGGAGGAGGTGGGAATGGGGGGTGGACTGGGGGTAAGGGGAGGGTGTGGGAGGGGGGAGAATAGGGGAACCCGTGGCTGATATGTAGAACTGAATGGAATTGTAAAATAAAATTAAAAAAAAAAAGACTGGACCATAATGAGAGGGAGAGAGAGAGGGAGAGAGAGAGAGAGAGAGAGAGAGAGAGAGAGAGAGAGAGAGAGAGAGAGAGAGAGAACTGGCTGGGAATGGTATAGGCTTTTTAAACCTCATAGCCCACCCCCCAGTGACAGAGCTCTTCCGACAAGCCACAAACACACCTCCTAATCCTTCCCAAACAGTTCCATCAACTGGGGACCAAATATCCAAACATAGGAGCCTCTAGGGCCCATTCTCATTCAAACTCTCACAGCAGCCAACAGAGTTATTCCCGAAAGCTGGGACTTTGGTTCCTGTAATTTTTCTGATTTGTGCATGCTCTGGTTGACATCAAAGCATCCTTGGTGGGAGAAGGAATACTCATTGCTTATCTTTTACCTTGTTATTCACCTACATGGCTCTGTCCTGGTCCTCAGACTGACCTTCAGTTTCTGGCTCCTCCTACAGGCCTGGCAAAGCCAAGCAAAGCCTCAGAATGTTGAGCCACATCTTCCCTGTAGCTTGTCTTCTAGTCAAGGCTAAGAACCAAACAAGAGTCACCCCCAACTTGTCCTAAGATAAGATATCCCTGCTTCATACCATGCTTCACTGTCTAAGACCTGTTGGCATGTCCCTCTTTCTGTACAAGTGTGGACTGTGTGAGGAGGTCTGACCTTGCTGGGCGCACATAAACTCTCGCAC